CTGCCGATAGCGAGTGACGACAACGACGTTCATCGCGTCGGCGAACGACGCTCGTGGCCTACTAACGAATCGGCCGAACGCGTCGAAGGCGAGAGAGTAAACGAACGGCAGAGCCGTATTGCGGTTCGTGCCAGGCGCGCTGTGTAGACGCAGTATGAGGCGCGCTAGGTGCGTTCGGGGTGACGCTATTAGCGCTATTAGCGCTATTTGTGTCATTCTATCTTCGTTCTTTATCAGACGTAAAACAAGGATAGAATGACACAAATAGCGCTAATAGCGCTATCCGAACGCACCAACTGTGTTACGAGGTTCGCCCAAATTCGGCTGCACTCTCTGCACTCTCCCCGTTCCATTGTCTGTTCGCATTGCTTGAAATTCCCCAAAATTTTTGTACTTGAAATAAGATATATATATATTTATATTTATCTAAATATATTATAAATATATTTATAAATATAACAAAAAGTGCAAGCAACGCGACAGATCTACTATTCCTTCCCGATGTTTTCATTTCGTTTCTCGACGTAAAAACACTGTAAAGAATTTGCAAGCGCAATACGACGATGCGTTCGACATCTTGGATTTTGCGCGGATTTATCCGCTTGACTCAGCCTCATTTTGGTTGTATATTTTCTATTTACGCTTTCCTCCTTTTCTCGAAAGTTTAGATATGTGCATGACTATGCTGAGGTGCAGAAAGTGTAACAAATGAAGGTTTATTTGCAATTCGAAAAAAGTTTTTCTTTAATGTGGAAAATTTTTATTTAATTTTTTCCAGCTGATGTCTAGAGATTAGACGGTGTTTTTTATTTTAATTAATATTCTTAAAGATTTTACGAAGTATTTATAAAAATTTATATTATATGATACGATCAATGATGCTCTTTTCCAAGCGTCGATAATTATCGTAAGATAAAATGTATGTGCGTCCTTGCGCAATTATATATATATATATATATATAATTGCAGTTATAATTTTTTATGTGAATAAACGCATGAAACACACTCGTGGTGAAAAGAATTCTTATTTATAATATTTTTGAATATTTTTATATTTTAAATTTCAGAAGATTAAAAAGAAATATCTTAAACACTCTTTTTCAAATTTTAATAATAAGTTCACTTCGGAAATTATAGAATGAAAAGAATTTTAGAATATTTCAGAATTAACATATACATTAAAATTCCGTTTATCTGAACATATGATCGTCCTTGTAGAAAAGTATGTACCTAAGTACTATTGCTCAGCAGTATTTTGAGAGGCACTACTATTGCACTACTACATTACAGCAGTTATAGTGGTGCAATAGTGCGCAATAGTGCAGCAGTGCAGTAGTGCTTCAAAATCTGCACTAGTAGTGCTCAGTAGTATTTTTCTACAAGAGTGGGCAACAAAGATAGTTTCGATAATCGAGAATAATTCGGGATAACATAGATTCACATTAACTCTCCCCCTTATCAGTATTTATTAGTTTCGATAATAAAAGTTGACATTCAAAAAACTAGAATCGAACTCGTATCTCGACTCTGATGCAGTAATTCCGATAAATAATTAATAGAAGTTTAATTATGAATTCGAATATTTGATATGTAATTGTTTGTATAAATGGAATGTCGATAAACGGAGTTCTGTACTGTATAAATTTAAAAAAATATTTAGTTTCTTAACATTTTTGCAAAATATTCCAATTTATTTAATTTAAAAAATCTAACAAATTTTCTAAAAAAAGAAGCGTGGCATGAAATGATATAAAAAATGTAAAAAATTCTAAAATTTATAGATATTTTGAAAAATTATGGAGAATTCTAAGAAAATAGATTTTCACTATGCACGGACTTTATTTAAAATTTTAAATAGTTCCTCGCATTATTTCATAGGCGCAAGACAAAAATCTTATCTTATTAGCATTAACAGCATCAATCGTATTTCGATATATAATAATTTATTTTTATAAGTTGATACATAATTTATTCTCAAATAAAGTACCTTTTAAAACCGTAATGTGAATATACAAGAAGTAGGAAATAAAAGCTCTAAACGGTTAAGTTCTTTCTAAAATATGCCTATAAGCATTAATATTATTAAATTGATTGTCAATTTAATTTGTAATATATTAGCACTCTAGTTCTGCTTCAGCTGCATTTTAAGAATGAAAATTAAATTTAGCATGCAGTTTGCAGGATTGGATATCAGGGTTGGTGAAAATCATATATTTTAAACTATTTGAAACATGCTTGATCGATGTTTTTAACATATTTAAACATGTTTTTTTTATAAAATTGTTTAAAGCATGTAATGAAGCATTAAAAACGTATTGAAAAAATAATATTCTTATAGAAAAAAAAAATTATCTTTCACCAACTCTGTGGATATGTAGTATATAAATTTACATGAAATTATTAATTTAAGTACTAAAGATCCAGTTTGATTGTTTAGGGTTTTTATTTTCTATTTATTTCTATATGCATGTATCTTTTTTTTAGCAGCGAAATAAGTTAATCCTTTACGCGTTTTCGCTATTACCGACGCGTATCGCGTCACAGTAATACATTCGGTTGTCATCAGGTGACGCTAGTGGTGCTGGCGCGGGACGGCGGGACTAATTATTCTAAAGATCGGTATTCATAGTCAGTCCTTATATTCAAGATCGTCTTAAGTTCAGCCTTGAGGTGTCACAAACCAATCAGAGGGCTGCATTAATGTCTTAAGACATTACTTAAGACGGTCTTG